CCTTCCCCATCAGCGCTCGACATGGTCGGGGTACCTTTGTCAAATGGAAACAACCAGAGGCTGGCGCAGTCAACGTTCCTATTAACGAGATGCCAGACTTCATTTGAACGTCACCAGCTCTGCCGCTGCTGTTCTTCTGTTGCGGGACCCCACGCTGCATTTCGTTGCTCAGCTGTTTGTAAAATATGGATTTCATGTTTCGGAGACCCAGCTGTGATAGCTGGAGGGTGCTTGAGTAGGGGGCCGGGTGGTGTCCACGGACCTCGGTGAGGTGACCCCCGAGCAGGTGGTCTCCAAGGTCAGGGGCAGGCTCCTGGGGGCCAGGGAAGAATTGAGGCTCCATCTGAGACTCTCCTGATCCTGGGAGCTGTGTGTGGGGGAGGGCTCCAGGATACAGCCCTGTAGATACTGAGCACCCCATCACCAGGGGCATGTAAAGAGGTTCTGTCTGGGCTCCCCGACAAGGTTCCATTGGGCCTCTGTTCCATTGGATGGGGGAGAGTCTCCACCCCGAAATGACCCATCCAGGGCTTGGATTCATTTCTCAGGAAAGCTGTTTGGAGCACATCTGCCCATTCTCCTGGGGATCCACCCGCGTCACTCTCCGTCTTCGAGTCTGGGGAGCTAAGCTTTCATGCTGGGCACATGGGTTGCCTCTCTGAGCCTCATTTTCCCTGTCTGCCAACAGGGGATTACAGCCCGCACTCACTAGAAAGCTGTCATCGCAAAGACAAACAGGAGCAAATTGTTGGCCAGAAGGCGGAGAAGCTGGAAACCTCCGTCACCACAGGTGAGAATGTGGCATGATTCTCCCCTGTGCGAAAGAATTTACCGGTCTTTCCAGAAGCCAAGTGTGAGATACCATCTGACCCAGAACTTCACGTCTTGGTGTAGATCCAAGAGGGGAAGCCAGACGTCCACACAAAAACACGCATGTTCACGCTGTCGACAATTGTCCACCAAAGGATGAAAGCAGAAGCACAGTGTGGTCCATCTGCACGCGGAACGCCACTCAGCCGTAAGAAGGTGTGAAACCTGGACACGCGCTGCAACGTGGATGAAACTTGTGATCACTGTGCCGAGCGTGAGAAGCGGGACACGGGACGCCACCTGTTGTAGGATTGCATTTCTGTGACGTGTGCAGAACAGGCCAGTCCCTGGAGAGAGGAGGGGGCTGCCAGGGGCTGGGGGAGGCGGAGGTGGGGAGACTGCTCATGGGCACAGCGTCTCTTTTCGGGGTGATGGAAATGTTCTGGAATTGGATAGAGGCGATGGTTGCACAACACGGTGAATGAGCTAAAAGCCACTGAATTGTGCTCTTGGAAATGGTTGAGATGATTAATTTTACCTTATGTGAATTTTATCTCCATTTTTAAAAATCTAATGAAAATAAGAACTTAAACAAAAATAAGATAAAATAAAAATCAGAGCAAGCCTCTGTGATCACCCCTAAATGGGGGACTCGGGGGCCCACACATACTGTCCCCTCCCCCTCCCTCTGGCCCAGACACTGGGGCAGATTTGGGGCCCTGGACCCTCAGAGCTGTTCGGAGCAGGGTGGGCGCAGGCAGCCAGCCTGGCGGGGGCAGCCTGCTGTCCATCAGCCCTCCCTCCCGCCACACCCAGGTGGTTACCACCCAGGCTAAGGTGATAAAGGGGGAAGTGGGGCCTTTCGAGGTCGCTGGGCCCCTGGATTTGCATTGGCCACTTTTACATAAAAATCTTTCCAAGCTGTGCCCAGTGGGCCCTGAAGCCGCCTTGTGGGGTCAGGCCGTGCGTGGAGGTCAGACTTGCTGGAGGTTTCTGCAACACCGGGCCCAGCACACCGGTTCCTGTTTTGGGGGAATGTTATCATCACTGGCTTCTTAGAAAGAGCCTGAGGTGGGGGAGCCGGCCAGCCCCCAGCAAGCCCTTACAGCTGCCTCTGCCCTCTTTTTCTCCATGGGGAGGGGAGGAGGGAAAGGAGCTCTATCCCAATGTCAGCAGGGATGCGAGGTGGGCCTCCAGGGGCACTGACCGTGACCGTTTATGGAGCACTTCTTGTGTCCCTAGCTTTCTGTGTGATCTCCTGGAACCCCCATAAGTCGTGTCACCCCAGACCCGGAGTTTAGCTGACAACTAAAGGACTTAGAAATCTGATGGCTGGACTTCTGAGGCCAGGGTGGCCTCTGGGCTTGGGCCATGGTGCTGAGCCCAGGTTGATAAACCCCCCTTGAGATAAGAGAGGGAGCTGACCTGCCACCATTTATTCAGCCAACAAATATTTACTGAGCACCTCCCGGTGCCAGGATCCAGGCTGGATCCGGAAATTGGATGGGGAACCAGCCAAAGAGGTCTCACCCTCCTGATGGCTGATGGCCGATGGCCAGCGGACAGAAGAAACCAAATGAGCAAGGTGACTGTGGAGAGTGCAGGGAGGGTGACGGCCGGGTTCCAGGGCCACAGCGAGGGGCCAGGCGAGGGGGGCAGAGTCCCGGCCACTTGGTGCTGGGCGCCCCCCTGCTCTGCACAAGGTGGGCATCCCCTGGCTCGAGTCACCTCCGTCAGTCTCTCTTCTCTGCTTCGGTTTTGCTTCCATAGGCCTGAATTTGCATCCTTGGGACATGTCTTCTTTTCAAAACTCCTACCTTCTCCCCGCTGTGCAGAATCTCTCTGCACAGAGGGTACTACCACCATCGCCACCACTGCGGGCAAAGGGTTTCTTCCTCAGCTGCGGGCTTCTCGGAATAGCCACCCCCAAGGTCCCGGGCTCTGAAATGCTCCCTGGGCTAGCCGGGCGACCTTGGGCCCTCTGCACCCCTGCCCACCAAGCGCCCCTGCAGTGGGGCTGGAGATGACCTCCCTTCCCCCTCCCAGACCCCCATTTCCCAGAGGAGGACACAGGGGCCAGTGAGCTAGGACTGAGACTCAAACCCAGGGGGGTTTCTGTTGCATGAAGGTGTCAAGCCAGAAAGAAAGAGGCCCTGGGAGGCTCCACCTGACATTGAGCCGAGCAGCCTGGCCTCGGTGGGCCTTAGTTTCCCCCATGAGCACCTTTCATTTGCTCCTATTTGTGACTTTCATGGCCTTTACACGTGTTTACCCCATGGCATCGGCCTCTACTTAAAGGTCTTGATGGCATCACATTGGTCTCAGAGTAGTGTCCCTTGCTCGCTGTGGCTTCAGAGGCTCCACATGGCCAGTCCCTGCCCTCCACCTGGGTCACCCGAGCCTCTGCCAGATCCCTAAACACAGCAGGCTCCCTCAGGACCCCAGGCCTTTGCACCTGCTGTGCCTGTTGCCGGGGATGCTCTTCCTTCATCCACCCATGTCTCCAAACGATCTGCTTATTGCCTGCTTGCCCGCAGTTCTGGTCGGATGTCAGACTGCCTTCATTCCTTTTCTTTTTAAGCTTTTTATTCAAGAATAACATAGGGCATAAAAGTGCCTAATCCTCCATGTACAGCTTACTAAATTTTCACAAAGTGAACACACCCATGTAACTAACCAGCACCTAGATCAAGAAACAGAACATTCCCAGCCTCACCCTCTCCTGATAAAGCTCCCTTTTGAATTGATGATTAATGATTACATGAGGGGCCCCTCTGTCTGTGACAGAGCTACTCAAGAAGCTGCTGGGTTCCCGGGTTGCATTAATAGAAGATTAACTCCAGATTGAGGGAGGTGATTTCTTTCCTTATGCTGGGTGGGTCAGAGCACGCAGACAACTGCCCCTGCCAGTTTGGAAGTGGGTAGACATATGGCAGAGGGTTCAAGAAAGACCACCAACCACCTCACATGGGGTGTGTGTGAGTGTGTACGCTTCCGAACCAGACCCTGGGAGAGAGTCCTGGAGGCTTCAAGGTGTTTCCCTAGACAAAGATAGCCCAGGTCCTTGTCACCTGCTCTAGGTGGCTCAGTGGCAGAGCTGGGTGGGGTGGGGGTCCATTCAGAGGGAACCACCGACACTCATCAGCCAATTTCTAGACCATAAAGCAGGCTGCTTCGAGTAGTAGTGAACAACCTGTCAGGAGAGAGATGCCAGCCCCGTGCCCCCTTTGGCAGCAAACTGAGCAGGAGCTCAGAACCCAGACTGCCCAAGACGGGACAGCTTTGCCTTTTGTTCCCCACTAGGCCTTTCAGAGAGGTAGGCAGGGAGGACTTTGGGGACACCTAGTCACACTGAGACCTTCCTGGGGGGAGATGAAACCCCAAACTGGGAATGACCTGCCCGGGTCATCTAGCCAAAACTAACTCTCCAGACATAGGCCTGGCTTGGAGCTCCGGCTTTGGGTGGAGTTCAGGTCGGGTTATATCTGGCACGGCCGTTCCCTCTCGCCGGCTGCAGCTGCCCGGGGTGGGGACGGCTGGGTATGCTCCGACACTTGCACTGACTGGTGGCCCGCAGGTGCTGGGCCAGCCATTTACATAACCACGCTTGGTCTCCCCCGCCTGGCGTGCTGTCCCACCCCCTCACCTCTCACCAGGAAAAGGCTGAGGGTCTGAGAGCAGGAGCCGACTCTGAGCCCCACTGAGCTCTTTGAGTACTTTATTTCACTTCTGCGTTTCACTTTTACTGTCCCAGGTGAAATGTGCCTGTTTTTCAGCCCCCCATGCAGTAGCAACTGGGCCCAGGATGCCTCCATCCTGGGCCGACCAAGGGTGGGGGTGAGCAGCAGGTGGACCCGGGTCTGAATCCCAGGCCTGCCCCTGGCTGGCCTGTGACCCCTGGAGCTGCCGTCCACTCCCAGCCCCCACTTAAGGGGGATGGGATGCGGGAAGGGACCCAGGGTCTGGGTTCTGATGTGGCCCTGCTTCCGCTCTGCTGTGTGGCCTCAGGCAAATCCCTTCCCCTCTCTGGGCCTCAGTTCTCTGCCCCATAAGACGAAGATGTCTACAGCCACATCCTTATAATGCGGTCTCTCTGCCCCAGCCCTTGTGTTGGGTCTGGCTGGGGGCTGGGCCGGGGAAGGTGAGAAGCCTGTAGGAGCGGAGAGGCTGGAACAGTTGTATGTCCTTGAGCTTGAGTGAGGATCTCAGTCTGCGGCTAGTCTAAAATGCATATTCTTGGGCCCTGCCAGGTGGGTGCGAGCAGGGGCCTCGTCAGGCCCAGAAGCTTCAGGAGGCATGTCTGCGTTCCCTAGGACAGGACCGAGGGAAGGCTGTGAAGACGGGCACCTGAGGCACAGAGAGGTGAGAACGCTTGCCCAGAGTTGCTCAGCAAGCAAGTGGCTGCTCCAGGACCGAACAGGGGTCTTCTGGATCCAGAGTGGGGGGCCTCCAGTGGACAGCGGCACTGGGCCGGCACATGCCCCCACCGCTCTGCGGCCCCTAGGTGCCCGTGTCCCCGCAGCCTCACTGGTGGCAGGGGCCGCGAGGAACGTGAAGGCTCAGGCTTCCCCCGGGAACAGCTCGGAGCTGAGTCCGGGTTTATATAGTGGCTCCCAAAATATCTGGCCGCCGATAGGCCAGGGCAGGCGAGGGTGCGGCTGGCCAATGCCGTGGCTTCCTGTCCTGCCAAGATGTTTCCTGCCGATAGTGGGGCCCGGTGGCCTTATCTCTGACCCCAGGGCCACTGGGAGGACAGACCCCCCCAACACACATACAGAGGACAGGCTGTTCTGGACCAAACAGGAGCTGCAGGGACCCAGGAGGGGGTCAGGGCGAGCAGCCCCTGGCAGGTGATGGGCTGTTCAGCCAACACACAAGTTTCGGGAAGGAGCACTGTGCTCGGAGTCCAACTACTCCAGAGCTGAGTTGTGAATCTGGGCTTAAATGGCTCTGTGACCCTGGGCAGTTGGGCCCCTGTCAAAATTACTCTCATCCATTAAGTGGGCATGACGGTGTCTCCAGTTTCTTGCAACACTCCCCATCCCCAGATCCCTCAGGCTGGCCCCTCAAGAATCCCTGTGTCTGGGGAAGACAGAGCTCAACAGAGACACCCCCTAGCCTTGCACCATCCAGGCTCGGCTGGAGGGATCCAGATGTCCATCTAGGATGACTGCCTGGAGGAGGGAAGTCACAGCTGGGGCTTAACGGATCTGTAGGAGCTCCCCAGGCAGAACTCGTGGAAGGGACGGCCAGGCTGAGGGAACAGTGTGAGCGAAGGCTTGAAGTCAGAAGCGCCACGCTCCCTGGTTTGCCGAGAAGAAACTCAGATTCCCAGAGGAAATGACACTGTGTTTCTGAAACCCAACTCTTCCTCCCACACCCGCTGCCCAAGACCCGAGCTCCTGGAGGGGGAGACATGTCCCCTCTCTGCTGGGGCCCCGGGACCTTGGGGGCTTTCTAGATTTCAAATCGATTTTATTTAGATTACAATGGCCTACTTGATAACTCCACATGCTTAATTCGGTGTAAGCATGATGCACTTTCTCGCCCTTCTGTGTCCTGTTAATTCACCATACCTACACTGTTTTACAAATTGATGTGCTGAAATTAAACATTATTCTTTTCATTCACACTCAGATTCCCCTCTGTCACATCAGTTCTACTGCAGTGGCAGGAGAGGACCTCAAGGCCCTGGTGGCTGGGGCTGGGGCTCTGACCAGAGCCACTGGGAAGGAAGAGACTGGGGTCAAAGGTGAGTCCCTGGGTGCAGGCCAGGGTCTGAGAGAGGGTCTCTGGCCCTGCCTCTGTCTTGCCCTGTGGGTTCAGGGAGGCTGTCCACACCCTCGCTGCCTTCAGAGAGGCCAAGGAACCCCAAGGTGTCGGGGCCCAGGACTGTTCACTCGAAAGACCCCAGGCCCCAAGGGGGGGCTTACCCTGTCCTTCCCTCACTGGCTCAGGTCTGGGGCTTTTGTGCACAACATGGGAAGGGTCTGTGGGGAAGGAGGTGAGGGCATGTTTGGCTGGAGTCTCTTTAATGTTTTTCCAGAGATGTGAGCAAAACGTGGAACTTTGTTCAATAAATCAGCACTGTCTCCTGGGGCCTGAGCTCCCTCCTGGTGGGAGGATAAAAACCGCGTGTCAGAGGGACTCACACGAATACATGTATGTGAATATCCACAGCAGCATGACTCACAGCAGTTGAAGGCGGAAACTGCCCAAGCGTCCATCGTCCGGGATGGATAAACAGAACAGGCCACCGAACGGTGGAATAGTACTCAGCCATGAGAAGGGACAGAGCCCTGGCACAGGCTGCAACAAGGATGAACCTTGAAAACATCAAGCTCAGTGAGAGAAGCCAGACACAGAAGGCCACGTGGACCATGATCCCATGTGTATGAAACTTCCAGAACAGGCAAATCCATGGAGAAAGTAGACTGGGGCTTCCCAGGGACTGGGGGAGGGTGACGGGGAGCGACTGCTGACAGGGTCGGGGGGTCTTCTTTCAGGACGATGGAAATGTCCTAGAATTAGATATTGGGGGTAGTTCACTGCTTTGCGAACGCACAAAATGTCACTGAATTGTCCACTTTAAAATGGTTCATTTCAGGGGCGCCTGGGTGGCTCAGTGGGTTAAAGCCTCTGCCTTCGGCCCAGGTCATGATCTCAGGGTCCTGGGATCGAGCCGGGCATCCGGCTCTCTGCTCAGCGGGGAGCCTGCTTCCTCCTCTCTCTCTCTCTCTCTCTCTCTGCCTGCCTCTCTGCCTACTTGTGATCTCTGTCTGTCAAATAAATAAAATATCTTTAAAAAATAATAACATAAAATGGTTCATTTCATGTGATGTGAATTTCACCTAAATTAAAAAAAAAAGATTGAAAAAAATGTGTGGCAATTTCTCAGGGGTGGGTTCTGGGTAGTTTTAGACATTTTAAATGGTGAACCTTTGCACTCTCTGACTTTTCTTTTTTTTTTTCTTGGCTGCGGGTAGGATGGGCCCCCGGTCACACGCAACCAGTGCTTGATGGGGAAGGCCCGTTGCTGGAGCTGGGTGGTGTCCTAGCCCTGCTCCAATAATGGCTGTGTTGACACCAGTGCCTCGGTGTGCGTCAGCTCTCCCAGCCCACCGGGGCCCCTCCTGTACTGTCCCCCAAATCCCCTTGAGGAAGCCTCTTCGAGAGGCAAGGGCCACTTGAGCCCATTTCCCACATGGTGGACTGAGGCCCAAAAGCCCAGATCCCACTCAGGTCTGGGGCCCCCTCCGTTTTATCTAGAACCCACAGCCCCTCCCTTCCCAGTGGTGTGGTAGGGGTCAACACGGGATCACACGCCTCCACACGCACCCACTCACGTGGCCAGGCTCCTGCCGCCCAGGGCCTTCTGGGACGCACTGCCAGCTGCAACCTGTTTCTCTTGGAAGGGAGCAGAGCCAGGAGTGGGATGGGAAATGCTCTCAGTGTCTGAGCGAAGGCAGAGCGGGGGGGCCGGGCTGTGAAGGAACCGCTAAGGGGCTGGGAGTATTCTGGGCTCTGGCGGGGAGAGAGGGAGCTCCTAGGCCTTGGGTCTCAGGAGCTGGGACAGGCCAGTCCCTGCTGAGTGACACTGGGTATGTCCTTTCTTCTCTCTGGTCTCCGATCTCTCTGAAATGGGCTGTCTAGTGCTCCCGGCCTCTCAGAGTAGATCTGAGGGATGAATGAAACAAGTGAGGGGCTCAGCAGAGGGGAACCCCCTCTTTTCTGACAGGTAGGGACAGAGAGGGCTGTGTGGGTCTTCGATGGGATGACTGAGAAACACTGGTTTTAAAGCAAACAGCCAATCCTACGGCAGTTCCTCAAAAATTAAAAATAGAATTGCAAAAAAAAAAAATAGAATTGCAGCCGATGGATGGGTGAGCAGGACGTGGTTTATCCATGGGATGGGATATTATGCAGGCTTACAAGGACGGACAGTCTGACACAGGCGACAGTGTGGGTGCACCTGGATGGCTTGAGCTGCCTGAAATCATGTCACAAAATCATGTCACAAAATCATGTCACGAAAGGACAAATATGTATGACTGCCCTTACTGGGGGTCCCTGGAGTCATCTGCTTTGGAGACCATCGATGGCCGGCACCAGGGGTTGGGGGGAGCGGGCGGGGACTTCATGTTTGATGGACACAGGTTTCAGTTTGGGAAGATGACCCAGTTCCGGAGATGGATGGTGGTGAAGGACGCACAACGACACACTGGTACTTCATGCCCCTGGAGTCTGTGCTTGAAGATGGTGACTCTTAGCTTGTGTACTTCACCACAATTGAAAAAAAGGGGAACCAGACTGATGATCCTTCCCACTGGAACTGATGTGGGCTCAGACTGCTCTAGAGGAAGTTGCTGGGGTGTCCCTCTGACTAGAGGATTCCCCAGCCCCCTGGCAAGCTCCAGTTCAACTTGCAAAAAACCCATTACTAACGCCTCCTCCTCCAGGCAGCCCTCCCTGATCTCCTGGGTCGATTCTAGCTCTGCCACTGGGCACCCCCAGCCCTTCCTCTTGCTCATCCCTGACCCTTCGGAGCTGGAACATCTGTCTATCTCTGTCAAGGAGTAAGGCCAGGCTGGGGTCAGGAGTTGGGGAGGAGGGAGCCCTGCTTGGTGGGTAGGAGAGTAGAGCAGCAGCAAGGGAAGGGACACTTAGGGGACCAAGACCCCTTTGCTCAGTAGGCACTGTTGACTCCCCTGCCCACACCTGCTGTGTGGCCCAAGGAGACCCCCGTGTGTTGGACCGAGCATGTTATGCCTCGTGTGGCCAGGACTGGGCAGGGGCTGAGGAACAGAGAGGGATGTGTGACTGACTCAGAGACACTTGAACCCGGCCTGGCCCTGAGTGGGAAGCTGGGGGCCCTGTGGGGAGAAGCGGGAGGGGCTGATACGACTGTCCTTTCAGAGGCCAGTTTTGAAAGCAAGCCTGTGTGTCTGTGCGTTGTATCCATGTCTGTTACGTGTTTCTTTGTGTTTGTGTTGTAGGCAACTCATGGGGATGTACATTTTTCTGTGTGTGTATGTGCTGCTGTGTAGCTGTGTTGTGTGCCTCCCTGCGTGCACGTTTCCCCCATGGGTGCCCACGTGTCTATGTGGCAATTTTGAGGAAACGAATCCCCTGGTCGGATGTGTTTGCTGCCCAGAGGGTGTGGGAGGCTCCCCCAGGCCACCCCACAACCCGCTGTCCACAAGCCTTCCCGGCTCTCTGGCCACACCCTGAATCTGACCTCTCCTCTCCATCGCCCTTGGCCCTTGGCCCCCGACCTCCCTCCTGCCTGAGCTCTCCTTTCTCCCATCAACTGCCAGGGGAAGCTGTGAAAACCAAAACCCTCTTTGGCTCCAACCCCGGACTCCAAGTCTCAGCCATCCCCTCTGCCCAAGCCTCAGTCTCTACAGGGAGTGCGTGCCAGGGCCGGGCCTTTCGTACCCCATCAGCCCCCACATGCAGGAGCGTGGAGATAACTGTCACTCCCACCCTGCTGTGCCCCAGGGGAGGGGTTTTGTCTGGTCTAGTTGCCTCCCTGCATTATGAACCAGACTCAGTATACAGCAGGTGCTCAATAAATACCTGAATGAATGAAGGTGAGGGAGGGGCTGGAGAGGGCAGAGGAGTCAGGTGGGGTGAGGACTTGCCTGTGGGTCTGGGCCTGGTCAGGGGACAAAGGCCGGAGAGTTGGTGAAACGCCGTGAGCCGGGCCCCTCATGGTCTAAGGAGCCTCCCTTTGGTGGCCAACGGAAGCGTTGAGTGCCAACAGGCAGGGCTGGGGGGTGGGGTGGGAGCTGTCAGAAGCTGGGCTCATCCAATGCAGGGACTCAAGCTGGGTGAGGTGGGAGGGGAGGGGAGAAGCCGGCCAGTGGGTGGGGAGGTGAGATTCAGGAGGTGGAAAGAGCAGGAGCAGCGCTGATTGATACGGGGGAAGGTGAGCCTCGGTTTCCCGTTTGTGCGGTGGAACAGCCGGGCCGGGCTCGCTGAAGCAGGAGAGGTCCGTCAGAATGAGGAGGAGGAGCAGGGTGCCAGTAAAGACACCGAGTTCTTCTGGGGACCCGGCTGCCTGTGGTCTCTCCTGGGAGGCCGGAGGACCTGAAGCCATCCTCGTTTCAAGGTCGAGAGGAGAACGGATCCACCCGCGGGACGGAGAAGGAGCCGTGGGAGGAAACCGCGGGAGGAGGTAGTGGCTCAGAAGCCAAGGGCAGAGGGGACGGCTCGACAGAGGGGGTGCGGTCGGCACCCCACTGGGTTACGAACCCCAGCACCCGCAGCGGGGCTGCCGCGGAAAAGGCTGGTAACACTGAGTGCTGGTGAGGAGATGGAGCAAGCGTAGTCCCAGTCCCCAAGTCCCCGCCCCGACGACGTAGCTGAATCTCACCGGCATAGCCGAGCAGCAGCAGCCAGATCCGGAACAGGACACGCTGTGGGATTCCGTTTGTCTGGATTCAGGAACAGGGGAGACCGAGCGATGGGGATGGCTGACAGCACCTGGCTCGCTCAGGGAGCTCGGGAGGGAGCCTGCGGTGTGCGGCCCGGGGTGAGGGGTGGGTGGGGTGTTCTGTGTCGACCTGAACGCATGGAGGTAAACACGCGTCAGGCTTCATACAAGATGGGAGTAGCAGGCACATCTTGTTGCCTGTTTAATCTCAATCCGAAAGTAAATATACAGACCCACTTAAACGAAAAACAACTGGGTAGACTTTAAATACATCAACTATCAGTAGCATTAAAAGTGTGTGGGTGAGCACCCGGGTGGCTCAGTCATTAAGTGTTTGCCTTCGGCTCAGATTATGATCTCAGGGTCGTGGGATCAAGCCCTCCATCGGGCTCTGCCCTCAGCGCAAAGTCTACTTGTTCCTCTCCCTCTGCTCCTCCCCCTGCCTCCTCTCTCTCTCTCAAATAAATAAATAAAACCTTAAAAAAAGAAAGTGTGCTGGTGTGTGGATGTGAAGCACTGTGTAGTCGCTGGGTGGGGGGTGGGGGTGGGGGCTGGCCGGCTGGGGTCACTAGGAGGAGGGGCCGTGGTCACTGAGGGTGGAGCGGGGGCTGATGGGAGAGGCAGGTGGGTGCAGAGGAAAG